CCCATTTGACTGTGTGGGTGTCTACGCCACAGCTTCCCATTTTCTTAATGAGAATGATGTGAGAGACAGTGTAAAAAGCCTTCCGGAAGTCCAGGAAGACTATGTCCACTGCTACCCCTGCATCTAATGATCTGGTGATCATTTCTTACTTCCCAAACTGATTGCAGGACAGCAAAAGGGAATCATGTCACAGCAGCAGATGTGAAAAGCAGGGGGTCAATGGAGTAGTGCTGGCCTGATCTCCAGGGATCCTGGTTTTCTCCGATAAAAAATAATCCCCAATTTTTGGATTAAAAAAAATAACCCCAAATCCACACTTTTCTGTGATTAAAGTGAAACACCACTGTATATATATAGTGGTGTTTCACAATTGTCAGTTCTGCTTGAGTGTTGAGGGAAAATGCAGCTGATATTGGGAGGAGGACTGGAGTTGTGGGTGCAGGATGGAGACTTAAGTCCTTAGATCCAAGAATACCAGTGCATTGGGCCTCCGTAGGATTCTGTGCCAAGGACGGGCTGTTGGAGAAGTCTGAGCCGGTGAGAAATCTTGGCCTTTTGAATTGTAGCTTAAAAATAGGAGTATTGGTGACCACCTCTTGGGGCTGAAAAGTTAGGAGTTAAGCTGTATGAGCTGAAACCAGCTAATAACCCTCCTGTCTAACTCTAGGTACCGATTGATTGGAAAGGATCAAAGGCGATGTGAGATTTCTGGCAAGACTGTTAGATGGAGTGGTGACGTACCCATTTGTCAAAGTAAGTAGTTCACCACTACCACTGATGGGGAATAGTTCAACAATAAAAATGTTCATCTGCTCATTAAAATGGAAGCTTTTGTAAAGACTCTTTTTCCTGGGTCCAGTTTCTGGGGTGTATATGTATGTGTGTGTGACGGGTGTCCTTTTGGGAAGTGCCAGTTTTGTAGCTTGCAAAACATTGGTGCACAACTGGCAACTGAAGCAGCTGCTTTGCTAGTGTTGATTTTAAAACAATCCTCTCTGTCTCTCTAGATATTCCTTGTCTTCCACCTCCAGATATCCCTCACGGGAGCTACAGCGACACATTCACAAGTGACTTCGTTTATGGGTCAGCTGTGACTTACAAGTGTGACAAGGGATACACGCTCATTGGAAAGGACCTTATTTACTGCACAACAAAGGATAAGAAAAATGGAGAGTGGAGTGGGCCTGCCCCGGAGTGTCGAAAGACAGGTGATATGTCCGTCTGCAATCTTCCTCCTCTGCTCGTTTAAGCCAAAAAGGTTAGGTTTGGGGAAAATGCACAAATTTAAGAATTCTGCCAAAGTTGAGCTCTTAGGGACCTTCATATTAGTGAGAGCTTTGAAGAATTTTCCATGGTTCATGTGATGTAGGGACTGAGTCATGCTGGAGAAGGTATGCTGGGGAAATGATGCATTTGAGGCACTGACAGAGGAACTGTAACTGCAGAGCAGGTGAAGTTAGAAATATTCCCTTCCCCATTAGAATGGGCATTTGCTCTCTTTCCATTAAAAAAAAAATATTAGACATGGTCACAAAAGACAAAA